TTTTTCTTTTAGGGATTGATTATGATAATCTTAAATAATAGTACATACAAATTTGTAGCAGATTAAATTCATTGAAACAAATTCCAAAGTTCGTTATAACGAATTAAGTTCGTTTGATCGAATTCAATAATCGGGGTCTATAGAAAAATATATATAAATTCGATATTACCATTTGTCGAATTCGGTTTAACAAATCTAATTCGTTTTAACACATTATGGAATTTGTTCAATTGAATTCAATTCGTTATAACAAATTTTGAATCTGATAAAACGAGTTTAATTCGTATTAACAAATTTTTGAACTTGTTATAACAAAATCAACAAATTTGTTATAACAGATTAAATTCATTACAACGAATTCAAAAAAGAAGAAGGTATGGTTTTCATAAAACTTTTGCCCCGTGATTTTCTAAAAAATGAAACTGGTTTAAAAGTTGAAAATCCTGCTTTTTAAATAATCGAAATTCATTGCAGAAAAATTATACAAGTCATTTTTCTCCCATGTGTTTTTAAATGCTAATTATAACGTCATAAACATGTGCATTTTCCCGTATTTTCTTAAAAAGTTGCAGAAGACACCAATTTTCAATGGAATTTTCTTTCAGATAACATTGTTCACAGGCATCGCCCACAAAGATCTTGAGATAAGTGATTTGTTATTGAATTTTGCACAAAATATCAAAAAACTATCGTGGGCGATGGCTGTGGACACTGTTTTCTAAAGGAAAATCTTCCTTGAAATGTGCCATTTTAATGCTTTTTCTGTTGAAAATAGAGAAATGCTTCACATTAATGACGTCATATTTGCAGAATGGTAACCCTTCATGCCATATTCTTTCCTGATTTATCAGAGTCATTTATTTCCTAATAATATAAGCCAGTTTCAAAACTTTTTGATGTCATTACATTTTTAGGCGCAATAAAGCTAAAACCATACCTTCTTCTTGTTATTACGAATAAAATTTGTTATAACAAATTCGATAATTCGTTATATCGGATTGAAAAATATTTTTCGATAAGTTCTAAATGGGCTTCCGTAGAAAACAGAATAAAATATAAAATATCATGTTTATATACATAGTACACAGTCTCTTTATCTTGAACTGGATTCAATGATAATGTTTAGAAAATGCTGAAAAAAATACATTGTATTTATTCATTTATCAAAATTATGTCGGATAAATATATTTACTAATTATAGTTCCTTATTTCATAATTTGCAATATTTGTTCAACTGCAATTCCATTTATGTATCACATCAGAACATGCTTAATACAAGATATGCTATTGAAATTTCTATGTTCGAAAAAGCTATTTACAGCATATAGGTAACATTCAAAGCACAAGGTAAGTGGCCCTGGTGTAATTTGAAAGACCTTAATTACTGAGTAGTGCTGTATGCTACCAAATATGAAGTCTATCTTTTTTTGGGATCAGAAATTATGGCGCGCGAAGATGCGAAAAAGCTATTTTTTCACATATAGGTCGAAGCCAAGGTGACAAAGTGTTTGATCTTGGTCTCATTTGAACGAGGTTAATTAGTGAAGTATGCATCCCAAATATCAAGTCTCTGTCTCTCGAAGTCAAAATGAGAAGTTTAAAGTTGACAACAGCCATACACACAAACAGACACAAAGACAAACAGACTGACAGGACAAAAACAATATGCACCCCTGATCTATCGATCCGGCCCATAAAAGAAACAAACATTCTACGGATGTCAAATTAAGAGTTTTAATTAAACTGCTGAGTACATTGACCATTAAAATTATCTACAAATTTCATTATTTTTTTGGAAGTTCTTGTCTATCTTTAAGTGCGTCAAAGCCCTTTTTTGTCAAATTTTCTCTTCTTTGTTGCTTTTTTGTTGTTTCTTGTTCTGGATCAATTCGACGAGCACCGGGAGGGAGCTCATCTTCAGGGGTCTCTGGATCGGCCTTGTCTGGCTTTTTACCTCTGAAATATAAATATCGATTTTTAAATTCTGTTCTATCTTTTCAAAAGCTATCAAGTCAAAATGCAATCAAAAAAGTCTATATACACGAATTTCTTTGTTTTCATTCTTGTTTTTTAAGATATTTTTTTGATGAACATCCCTGTGCCATTTAATAAATTTTTTGATTGTGTACTGTGTATATTTTAGGTCGACTATTCAAATCGCTGTATCAAATCAAATGGAATTTGCATGTTTCTGTATCTTCATTAAAAAAAGTTTTTTTCTTTAATGATTTGAATATCATTAAGGTCTTCCGCTCAGGCGGAAGACCTTCTACTGATTATGATAGTTAAGATTATTCCTATTATTCTTTTTTTTCCTAGACGCCAACTTTGAGGCCTTGTAACTCGCTCATTTCTTAACGGATTTTGCTCAAATTTTCAGAGTTTTCGGACGTTACAAAACTAAATTTAAATCTTTCATATATTTCAAAAATACCCTTCCACTTTCGAGTTATTTCCCTTTAAAGGAAAATTTGGTGCTGTTTGTTTCCAGACAAAGGCTCAAAAACGACAAAAGCTGGAGCAGAATGTCTAATGCATTTAAATACTAGAAGAATTGAAGTTGTGCACATCGGTTTTTCTTTTTCGATTTCTGCGCTCAAAACGGTGCTAGATAGGGGTCAAAAATAGGAATGCATAAATGCGCAAAAATTTACATCTATTTCAGTATGTATCTTTTAAACTAAAAATAATTTGTTAAGACATGTTGAACAAATATTGTGCATAATTTTAAGTTCTATCATTTGACATCATTAAAAAGGGGCTGACCCCTCAAATTAGAGGTCAAGGGCGCTCGAAAGATTTTGCTTTATAACTCAAAAACGGTAAATATTTCGATATGGTTTTCGATTTGAAATGGGTTCTTTAACATCTTATTGATCTCATGAAAACGTTATTTTGTTCAAGTCATGTTTTATTAGCTGATCAGAAAACTTTATAGTCCATGTACAGGTAAGTGATTTTATACGGCAAGTGAAGAAGAATTCTGTATGCGTACGCGTATAACACGTATAACTGAAATTAACTGGATAAGAATAATATACCTAGATAAATTGAATGTTAAATTTTGTTGAAATAAGATTTTTAACGTATTCTCTTAGACTAGCTGGATGTCATACAGCTTATTCAGAGACAACTTTCTCCCTGTGTTTAGTTTAAAGAACAAGACGGGAGAGAGGAAAATACTTTTTAAATATAAATATTCAATGTAGTATTATTTATTTTTTTTAAAATTCAAGCTTAAGATAATTCACTGTCATTCAATTCATGCATCGTGAATTTTCCTCGGACCCTGATTGTTTTGTGTGTACAGTGTGCGTGTTTTGTGTGTACAGTTATCACATGGTTATGAAACCCGTTTATCGATCGCACATTGACCTGTATACATTAGTGAGGTCAACATTACCGCTCTTTGATTTTTAGTAGAGTCCTAGATTTAAGATCAAGAAAATATGTCATTTGCGCTAATCGTAAGAATATTTCTATACACAAATTAAAAGGTTTTCTTGAACATGATTTAAAAGTGTTGAATGTCGGATTCTATTCTTTGAATAAAAGGTGCTGCGTTTACGCGCGCTTTTCTCATCTGCAGAGGTATCTATGGACGAGTTCATCGGTTACACTGAAGGGTGACACAGGATGACTTATCGATAACTCTGCCAATTTTGATAGTGATTTTAATTGCACATGTACATAAATTAATGTTCAATTCTACCCTTGTGAAGTGATAGTCCATTATAGTCTCGTTATTTAAAGAAATTGGGGATATCAATACTGCAACTTGTTTTTGATTACACACGGATGATTCTTTAATTGGAAAGGTACACACGTAGTACGAGGATTTTTAGGCCCCATCTCCCCCTCCACTTTGAAGTAATTGCAATTGTTACATGTATACGGGCCTATATCAAGTTATTTTAATTGCTTTATATCAGAAAAATTTGCGATGTTGTTTAAATTAGCAAATACATATGAACATGGCACAGTAAATATTAAGTGGAAGTGACGTTTCCAATTCTCATGAAAATCGTAAATGAAGCAACTTTGATTTTTGCATGAATTAAAACATATCTTATAATTGCATTGTATCGAATATATTTGTTTTATTTCCTCGAATAAAAAGAATATCACTATGACTTTTTTATTTTATTTTTTTTATTTTTTATTTATTTATTTTTTTTTTAAACAGGTGGCTCCCATCAGCCACGTACCCCCACATTGATTCTTTTTGTTTTCGGCGGTGTAAAAGGGGAATTTTTCAAATTGATTGATGATGAAAAAAATTTTCTTCATATTGCTGCAAACCGCCTCATCAGGAGTTTATTTGATTATGATTTATCATTACACATAATATTAAAATAAATTATTTAATTGTTAGGAGGTAAAATCACCTAAGTTTTTATTGGTTTGAGGACACAATAGGTTTTTGAAAATTTTTTTAAGTTTCATCCTTTGTAAATGTGCCAATATTTTTCATTTTCTTTTTAAATGTCGTATCGGGGGTTGTATTTTGTGACAAAAAAAAGAGGAAATTCCCTTTTTTCTTGATGTCACTTTTACTTTTTGGGGTTTTTCTCTCTGCTATAATTAGCGAGTACATTTTGCATGTTAGATTTGTTTTTAAATTTTTTCATCCTTTTTTAAGAGATTAAGTCAAACTCACGCAGAATTTCAAGCAAAGTTATTTCATTGCTTGTTTTTTATATGGCGTTTTGTTTCACCTTTGATGAATCCTTTAAAAACAGAGGAATTAGGCACTATTGTTCCAAATATTGGAATGTGTTATTTGGGTTTTAAAGTAGGTTTTAAAATCCAAATTTGTTTGGGTTTTTAAATTTTTTCCTTTGAACATTGTAGGTCAAAAAAATTGATTTTTTGGGGGAGATTTCATATGTGAATTTGAGTAAAGGGGGAAATAAAAATGAATTCTAATATGTGTTTTGATATAACATCTGTTAAACATATCACATACTAGTATATACATGTAATATATATATAAAAGAACTACACTGTTTGCTTATCAGGACCAAAAAGAACGTGACGTGTTTATGCTCCACTACACCCAATGGTCAGACCATGATGTTCCAGAACCGCTGAGTCTCGTCATATTTCATCGTCACGTGATGAAAATTTCGAACGTACACCCTGGCAAATACACGCTTGTTCATTGCAGGTTCATAAAATCTCTCTCTCTCTCTCTCTCTCTCTCTCTCTCTCTCTCTCTCTCTCTCTCCACACACACATACTTTTAGGTTACAAAAACATGCAGTGCATTTTGTACAAACACATTTTTCTTAATAATAAAGTTTATTTTATTCAACATATAAAGTGCGGGGATTGGCAGAACAGGCACCTACATCGCTCTGGACGCCCTCTATAAGAAAGGGGAGAAAACTGGGAAAATCAACGTACCAAAATATGTAGAAGCAATGAGGAATGACAGGATGAATATGATCCAAGGCATAGTAAGTTTACATTGGCAAAATATACCATTTTAAGAACAAGTAAGATTTTTATAAAGTTCCCTATAATAAATATTTTCCTGTAAATCTTTATATGAAGGACAGTCAAATAAAAAATGCATTCTGTTCTCTTTATCAGCAGTTTTACAAAAGTGACAAGGATACGTGCATGGTTTTGAATCTATACCAGTCTCAATTAAGGGGTGTGAAAAAATTAGCTTCTTTTAATTTAGTACAAACAGATTAATTTATTTACATTTTAGGACCAATACAAAGTTGTCTACCTGGCATTACTTGAAGCGTTCAGAGGGAAGTCCAGGTCTATCTCAAAAGAAACATTTCTACAGGAGTTCCAGGAACACTCTTGTTATATCAACCTCGGAGAGGTGGCCAACAAGTCTCCATTATCTGCAGAATATCAGGTGATAAACTACTATAGTACCCATAAAAAGCAACGATATCATCATGTCTTTTTCATTATCCATTTTTAGATAATTATGTTAACAACAATATTTGTGTAAATAAAAACTCTGTATTAAATGCTGACTGACGTTTTTTCATACTAATTGTTAGTCCATTATTTACACACTGAATTGACGACGGTCCTATTTTGTATCGTTTTATGGACTTTTGAGCTTGAATACTGTACGTTATCTCTATATATTTAAGGACAATCTTTATATCAACACTATTTCTAATAAGAGTATTTCTTTTTTATTTTTCAGGAATTAGTGTTCATACAGAAAAAATACACCTCCGACGATTACAAATCAGGGAGAACATTTGTATCAGCAAATTATTCTCCTTCTGTTTTACCTGGTAAATACATTGAAAAGAGTTAAACGAAAGAGATCATTTGTTCTCCTACAAAAACTAAATCTAAAAAAAATGAACAGGAAACGTCATTAAAAACCAAAAAGTAAAAAAAAAATGTTCAAATATTTGAGGAACGTTTTACAATGTATGTAGTGTTTTTACATGATAAGACGAAATAGCATCAAACATTTTTTTAAAAAATTATGCAACACTATTCAAGCATAAAATATAATTTTTTTTATTCAATCTTGTATTTTACAGTTGAAAGGTATACGTGTTTTTTGACAAACACAGAAGGAAAGAACATCTATTATAATGCAGTTTCCATCCAGGTATTTTACAAGCCTTGCATTAGCATATGTGAGAAAATAAAAACATTTCTTGAGGAAACATGTTTTGTTAAGTAATACTTACATGTAATGAGCGAACGTATATACTGACTGCTGACCGACTTTTTCCACACTGGTCTCCAGCTTTTTTAGGTTTTCCGATCATGACAAGAAGCACACAATATGACCAGTCGACAGGGAATGCTTACTCCTTCATGGACCCTGATCATACCTCTGATCTTTATGGATGTCTGTTTGTTCTGCTCTTGATTGTATTGTTCCTATGAAGCGGAATTTATTCAAAAACTTCTACATGAATGTCTTCTTATGTCCCCAAATGTATTCACAACTCAAGAGCATGATTCCTGTACATAGATCAATGTTTTAACTGAGGCAGGGTACTCACATATAAGTTCTTGTTCCAGGATTTTCACGAACCTCGTTTAACGTCAATATTTCGTAAATTGTTTGGTTGTTATGACCTTTTAATTAGTCCTCTTTGTGCTGGTTAACACATAAGGCCGTCACCAGAGACTTCCATGTTGGCCTGTCTTTTGTCCATCGTTGGACCTGTCCACATGACCAGTTATTTTCTTTTATTTCTTTTTCTACAGATCGTCATGTTTCTTTTGGTCTTCCTCTCTTTCTCTTACCAGTTGGTGTCCATCTCAATGCAACCCTTGGGATAGAGGTTGGGTGCGTTCTATATATATGTCCATGGTGATCTTGCTTCCTAGATAGACAAATTCTGTTCCCTCTTCTATTTTTTTATTATTTAGGGTTATGGGCTCGTCTGATATTTAGTATTGACCTCCATGGTCTTGGTCTTGTTAATTTTCAGGCCAATCTTCTTTGCTGTTTCTGCTAGTTGGTTGGTTTTTTCATGCATGTCACTATGACGGTGTGATAGTAGTGCTGTGTCGTCTGTCTGCAAATGTAGATCTTCAAGCATCTCTGTCACAGCCCAAGTAATTCCTGTCCGCTTATTCTTGGAGGTTTCTCGCATGATCCAGTCAATGCAGAATGTGAAGAGAAGAGGGAAGAGCAGACATCCATGTTTTACTCCAGTCTTCAATTTAAAATCCTTTGATAGTTTTGGTACACAGATAACTCTGGCATTTATATTTGTGTGCAACTTAACGATGGAGATAATATTATCTGAAATTTCATAATGACTGAGAATTTTTTTCTAAGGCTAGGCGATAAACACTTTCAAAAGCTTTTTGTAAAGTCAATAAAGTTGATGTAATGTGGAGAGTTGATGTAATGTGGAGAATTCCATTCATTGCTCTGCACTAATATTTGAGAGTGAATACCTGGTCGGCACATGACCTTCCCTTTCTAAAACCTGCCTGTTCTTTCCGTAGAAGAGGATCTGCTATGTCTGTGATTCTGTTCAGTATATATCACTCTGCTTAGCACTTTCGTGGATACTGACAGCGACATTGTCCCTCTATAGTGTTGCAGTTGGGAAGGTCTCCTTATTTGGGGAAGTTTTACTATAAGGCCTATTCTCCAGAAAGTTGGTGTCTCTTCTGATTCCCATATGTTCTGTAAAATATTTGTCAAGATGATAGGTATCCAATATTCTTCGGTTTGAGGAGCTCTGCATTTATCTGGTCAATACCAGCAGCCTTTCCACTTTTTAATTTCCTTATTGCCCTTTTCACCTCTTCTATACTAAGTGGATCTGTATTAATATCCATTGTGTTTATGGCTGGTGTTATCAGGACCTCATTTCCTGTATCATATAAATTGAACACGTCCTCAAAATGTTCTTTCCATCCTTTCTGTATGTCTTCTTTTTTGATAAGACCTTTTTAGCAAAAACATTTTACTGGGTCGTATTCTATATGACTTGTTTCATACAAATACCTAGACCTTTCATTTTTTAAAACTAAACTTGACTAAGAAATGATCCGTTTACTTGATCAATACGTAAGACTCGTGATGGGCGTGACTGGTCAGCAGTGAACTCCCCCTATACGCAACTGTTACTGATAACAACTCTGTCATTTCCATAAGTCTGTCTTTATGTCCTTTTCTTCGATGTGTATTGTTTGAAGTTTTTTTTTGTGGTTTTTTTGCGTTATCGATCACTGTTTTTTTTTTTTAATATCTTCACTGTTTTTATTCAATGGACTTTTGAACTTGGATACTGTTTGTTATCTCTATATTTAGAACGAAGTAAGCATAAAAAAATGAAATAAAAATCAAAGGCCTGAAGGGCCTGCGAGTTGACTCGCTCGAGTCAATTGAGCTTTTTCATACATATGGGCACCATAACTTAATATATTCAGTTTATTTTGCATCTTAAGAGATTGAATACTGGTATTATATGTCTGATCCATGTTCGGTTCATAAATAAAGTGTATATTGCTTTTCCTTAATATATATACAGGTTGGCACTAATGGGCTTCCGTATTATTTTGACTGGATTCTATAATGAATTTCAGCACATTAGCTGAAGTGGTCAGTGTTATGGGATAATCAGGTTAAAGATTCCCACAGCAAATCTGGATTCTAAAAATAGATTTTCAACAACAACTAGCTGCAGCTAATTATATAATGAGAGCTTCAGCTGTTTGTGTTAGGGAGTATTCTAGGTCAATTATAAATAAACTTCAGATGGGAAGATTAGATCCGCCTAACATGCTTGAACATATATTCATGCGCAGTAATTTTACATCATACAGGTATTTAATCAAAAATTTCTTTAAAAGCATATGAGGCAAAAATAATGTTACAGTATGAAATTTTATACAGTTTTTACCTCTTAAGTTTATACAATCACTCAAACCAAAGCATTTTTTGCTAGAACTATATATTTGACGTATGGATCACCTTGATGAATGCGTGAAAAATTTTACAGCTCTGAAACGGCTATGTCAACAGGGAGTAGCTCGCTACGCGAGCCAACTCAAAAACTTCTACATGAGAAGAAAGCACTAGCTGTGACCTTTACCCAGTTTTATCTTAACATCAAAAGTTATTTTCGTTTGTATGTCGACTAGATGCACATAGGCCGATTAACAATAATAAGTGAGATTATAATTGATAAGAGAAGCCTCCCAACCCTCATTTATATGGTATGTATTGAGTGAATGACAAGAGTTTTATGGTAGGCTTACTGGTTACAGGTATACATCTTTTTCTTCACATCCAGATTACAAAATTAAATGAGTGCTGCCTCTGCAATCATTCACTATGTATATTTTTAAAAGGTGCCTGGACAATGAATTTTACAGGATCCTAATTCAGCCTCCAATGGTCAAGCAATTTCATGTAGTAAAAAACTCAATGTCTGGATGCCCTGGTTCATTATTGGTCAACTAGATATTGCCCTTTACATATAAAGATCAAGTGTTTTTATGTAACTTCATGTCTTAAAGGGCACCAATGTCCAAATTTGAAGTCTGTCAAGCTAATGGTTCTCAAGACACTGAGTTGACAATGTCATAATTTCAGTATTGAAAATGAAATAGTGTGATTTTCCATGATAAATTATAAAAGTTATGCTAAAATCATAATAGATGGCAGATCTGCATGTCTGCAGTAGTTTAACCTTGACCCTTGAGATCTCAAAACCTGCAGTGGTCATGTACTTCTCAGTGGCTCCCAGTGTACCAAACTTGATGTCTGTCAAACAAAGGGTTCTCTCCTGTACAGTTTGACTCCAGATGTACTTATGCCCTGTTCACACGACGAGTTTAATTTGCAGTAAATTAATGCGAAGTAAACTAATGCGAATCAAACTAATTCGAATTAAATTGCGTTCACACGACATCTAATGCGAAGTAAACTAATGCGAATTACAATTTTAATTCGACAATTAGGCATGAGGAAGGCTATTATGACGTCATTTGCAAATCACGTCACTTTATGCAGAAGCAGATGCATTTGACATAATGCAACAGTGTCTGGAGACATATTTTAGTGATTAACACATTTTTTCTTAGTTTTTCACTCAAATTAGCACAAGTACTTAAAGCTGACCACCGACATGATGGATTTGACTTAATTTTGTCATTACGCATGCCCCAAAATTTAATTCGAATTAGCTTCGCTTAGCGTTCACACGGAGCTAATGCGAAGTAATTTAATGCGCAGTAAACTAATGCGAAGTAAACTAATTCGCATTAAATTCTCCGTGTGGACACTTAGCGAAGCTAATTCGCAGTAAACTTACATTTAATTCGAATTAAACTCTCCGTGTGAACAGGGCATTAGTCTGACATCTGTAATACCACAAAGTATTCTCAATATATTGAATGGGCAATATCTTCCTATATTTAAGAGACTAGTTCAACCCTTGAACTTTGACAATGTGACTTCAAAAAAGTATAGGTCATCTACTCTAGTGTACAACATTTGATGTCTGCCAAGTAAAGGGTTCTCAAGACACAGACTAGACAACAAAACAGATGCAAAGGGGATGGAGTTTATTGAATTTAACAAAATTTTTAGCGACTTTCTTTAGTGCCTGCAGAATGCAGCATTGCTCTGTGTCTATTCTTGCTTATGCTTGGCTGCACATTAGACCCATTAAAACTGAGATGTAATTTTATTAAAAATGCATCACGAACAAGCTCTGATGATTAATCAATGTGCTAGATCTTGAACATAGCTCTGGTGTCCTTTCTACATTGACAAACTTGTTTCAAAGTTTTGTCCAGATATCGGTTTTTCCTCTTTTTTAACAAGTTTAATTAAAAGAAAAATGCATGGTTATTGATAATGTATTTTCTTCAGAGGTAAACATTTACATTATATACAAAATAAAGATATATATATCATGTTAAAATGAAATAAATATATGGCTATAATGCACAAGAAATGGTTGTACGATCTGGAAGGCCACGTATCATGTCCTGACATGGAATGGTGTATGGAGAGCATCACAAATCGGGTTTTATAATCTAGTAAAATAAACAATCTTCATATAAAGACCTGTATGTACACAATGGATTCCTAACCATCAGCTGACTAGATAATGCACACGTACAATATGTATGTGCCAAGATCAAGGATATTCAGTAGTAATTCTGACATAATACAGTTTATGTTTTAAATCAATGTACAAAGCATAACTTTTTATATTAATAAACATAAACAAACTAAATTTCTTTTTAATAAAGAAATGTGTTCAATTTATGATGAAAAATAAATGTAATGCTGTTCTGAATCTTGTTTTTCACTCAAAATATGATTTGTGATGTATCAGAGTGTAACATCACATATTGTTCACGGTGAAATGAATAAGACTTTATCAAGTCAACTCACTTATTAATTAAATCATGTGTTTTGCTCATTCTGAATGGAAAAGAATAATGAATTTGGATCATAAACATGAACAGATACAATATCACTTTCACTGCACAACCAAGAATGGACTGAAATAACTTTTCCTTCATACATAAAATAGTTGATAATAGTCTGATACATGATTTTTTACAAACAAATTTATATATACAACAGAATGAGTATTTATCAGCAATGCTTCAGTAAACAAATAATCATGATGAATATATTTATCATTTATGAATATAATAAATATACATGTAACAGGATCATGTAACCAATGAAAATTCACAGTTAATGCACCAAAATTTTATCCCCTGTTTATGGGATTCAACATGATTTGCATGAACACCTCCCGTAATACTTCATTTAAAACTTAAATTTGATCAAAATACCTTATTTAGCAGCATAAACAGTCATGGATTTCATAAATTCAAAATTTCTATCACATAAGAATATCACTGAAGAATGCTTTCTATCATTTTGTTTGTTCCCCTTTACACAGAGTAATATCTACTGTCTGTATTCCCCTTTGCGGAGCTGTGCACAGAGTCTATGCTACTGTCTGTCTCCCACTGAATTTGACGGATGCGTTGTCTCGGATGTTGCTCTGTCTCAGTGACTCCACTTCAGCCTCCAAATCAGCATTCTCTTTCCTCTCCTGATTAATGTAAATTATTATCCATCATATCTCTAAGTAGTTGACAAAATAAATATGGGACAAAACACAATTATCATATCTTATCCAGGAAAATGGTTTATCATGTACGAAAACTGTTTATCTAGCTG